GTCCCGGAATAGAAAGATGCCAGTGGCTGAGGGGCTTGGGAAAACCTGATTTTCCCCGGCTTCTCTTCACATCTCTAACCAAAAGCCTGTGAAGAGCCACTGTGGTAATGTTTTCCAGCTTGCCTAGGATAGAGGGAGAAGGCATGACAAAATCTGAAGACAGTTCATATATCCATTTCTTTTTTTTTTTGAGATGGAGTCTCGCTCTGTTGCCCTTGAGTTGGAAGTGGCAATGGCGGATCTGGCTCACTACAGCCTCCGCCCTCCTGAGTTCAACCTCAGCTTTCTTTCTTTTTTCTTTTTTTTTTTTTTTTTTTGAGACGGAGTCTCGCTCTGTCGCCCAGGCGGAGTGCAGTGGCCAGATCTTCAGCTCACGCGAAGGCAAGCTCCGCCTCACGGGTTTAGGCCATTCTCCTGCCTCAGCCTCCCGAGGAACTGGGACTACAGGCGCCCGCCACCTTGCCTGGCTAGTTTTTCGTATTTTTTAGTAGAGACGGGGTTTCACCGGGTTAGCCAGGACAACCTCAGCTTTCTAGTAGCTGAGATTACAGGCGTGTGCCACTGTGCCCAGCTAATTTTTTTTTTGTATTTTTAGTAGAGACGGGGTTTCACCATTTTGGCCAGGCTGGTCTTGAACTCTTGACCTCAGGTGATCTGCCTGCCTCAGCCTCCCAGAGAGCTGGGGTTACAGGCGTGAGCCACCGTGCCTGGCTGACAGTTCATGTTTTCTAAAGAATGTGCCTGTTGATACTTTAAAGTAAAAACTCTGTAATTGCTTAAATGTGAAAGAAACTATCCTCACTAAAGCATCTCTTCTTCCCTCTCCCTCACCCCTGTAGAGGAGTGTGAATTTTAGACGCTTCTGCGTGGATCTGCCTGCATCCTGACATGGTGCCATCCCCAGCACGGTGGTTAGTCCCAGAGCTCAGCCGCCACCTCCACCGGACACCTCAGACACGCTTCTGCAGCTGTCGGCTCACAACACAGATTGACTGCTCTGACTTTGACTACTCAAAATTGGCCTAAAAATTAAAAGAGATCGATGTTAATCTGTGCTTTTCATTCTTTTAAAGAATATGAATGAGTTTCTGTCGCCCAGGCTGGAGTGCAGTGGCCCAATCTCAGCTCACTGTAAGCTCCGCCTCCCAGGTTCAAGCGATTCTCCTGCCTCAGCCTCCCAAGTAGCTGGGATTACAGATGTGTGCCACGACGCCCGGCTAATTTTTTGTATTTTTAGTAGAGATGGGGCTTCATCATGTTGGTCAGACTGGTCTTGAACTCCTGACCTCAAGTGATCCACCTCCCTCGGCCTCCCAAAGTGCTGGGATTACAGGCGTGAGCCTGGCCCAGATCCTTAGACTCTTAACGACGACTTCTCTGGTTTTAATTTCTGGGTCCCTCTCACCTGGCACAGTGCCTGGCTTTTGCCATGCTAGCTCCCACTTCTCATGCACACAGATGGTGCTCAGTAAATATTTATGTATTGAGTAAAATTTAATAATCGTTTGTTGAAATTAAAAAGTGAATAAATAAGTTACCTAGAAAGAAGCAAAGTCCACAAACCCGGGGCACCTTGCATTTTTCCTGAGTGTGATGTTTGCACATCAGGATGTGAAGACCACATCTCCCTCTCGTGTCCTGAGGGTTTCATATCTGCCTCACCGGATGGTTGCTGATGTCATTGGAGAAGGAAGCTGGATGGGTGTGTGCACAACAACATCAAGGAATTCAGCCCACAACTTACTTTGCTTCTTACCTGTGCACTTCTAGAGACATGTACAGTGGCCCCCCGTGAAAGAAATAATTGTGGTTTTGATGGTATCACACCCTCCCAGTGTGCAAGTAGGAGCTGCTGTTTCGATGACAGCGTTCGTGGGGTCCCCTGGTGCTTCCATCCTAACACCATCGACATCCCTCCAGAAGGTACGACCTTTTTATACCATGGGTTCTGAAGATTTAGAATTAGTTAGAAAAGCCACATAAGACTGCAGAGGCTCTGATCGGCATCACCAGCTGTGCCTTTCCCTGGAGTCATGGCCGCAGGTGGTGTCGCAATGGGGTAGCCTGAGTCAGGCTGCATTCAGGTCCGGGAATAGAAAGGCAGGGCTGAGGGGCTTGGGAAGAAACCTGATTTTTCCCCGGCTTCTCTTCACATCTCTAACCAAAAGCCTGTGAAGAGCCACTGTTGGTAATGTTTTCCAGCTTGCCTAGGATAGAGGGAGAAGGCATGACAAAATTTGAAGACAGTTCATGTATCCATTTCTTTTTTTTTTTGAGATGGAGTCTCGCTCTGTTGCCCTTGAGTTGGAGTGCTCCAGACCCCAGGAGGGCAACGTTCCCATGGAAGCC